CGCCATTATATCACTCTCGCGGTTACACCGCCATCTCACTCGCAGTTACACTGCCATAATATCACTCTCGCGGTTACACCGCCATCTCACTTCATTTCAAAAACATTTCCCAAAAACATTCTATTTTCATCCGGACTTGAAGTCCGATAAAAAACTTGTCCGGATTAAAAGTCCGGTCAAAACACTTGAAAATATATTAACATCCTTGTCCGGTTTAGAAGTCCGGACAACACATCACTTTCTTTGTCATCCGGTTTAGATTTAAACCGGACAATACATCACTTGAATTATTTAAACGGTTTACACATTATCCAGTCACCTCTTGTCCGATATAAAAAAGATCCGGTCACCACTTGGCCGGTTTAAATAATATCCAGACAAAGCTTAAACGGTTTAAGTATCCGAATTTCAATCCGGACACCACTTGGCCGGATTTATTCAAGAATCAACATAAAATGTAATTGAATTCACAATAACCAGTTCTAAAATGCTTATCAAATCATATATAAGCAATACATAGTCAAAGATCTAAACACTCACCTTTTAAAGATTGAGAATCAAAGCTTTGGAAACCTTTTCTTCTTCTTCTTCCTGTGCAATCCTATTTCTTCAGAGTAAAACTAAATATGGTATGTGTTTTTTGTGTGTCTTTTACTTCATAAACAATTATATATACATGCACCACCAAAAAGGAAAGTGAAGGGCGGTTCATGAACCGACTCCCCCTCTTTTCTTATTATTATTATTTTTTTAAATAAATCCATACACACTTATCCATATCATACACATATATATTATATATATACATAATAGTAGAAAAGGTAATAGGTGGCTACATTGCCGACCTCTCCTTTTTCTTATTTTAAAAACAACAAATATTATCCACACACACATATCCAAATACATATATATATCATACACACACATGTATATATATATATATGTATATATATATATATACCTGATATAATAACCAGAATATTACATTCATTTATTGTCTTATATTATGTTTCCTATGTCTATTATGAGCTAATTACTTATATGGGTGTGGATGTGAGTTAACTTAGAATTTTTATGCAATAATTGGATGTTTTTATTCTTTACCACTTCGTAAACTTGGTCACTTAAGTCGGGACTACAACTTAACGCAGATAAGCCGATCACTTTGAAGTGTTAATATTAGATCTTTGACCAAGAGATGGGGGGATTCGAAATACGGCTTAAATGATGCACAAAGAACGTGAGAGAGTCTTTCAAAATTACATAAAGATACAAATTTTGTATGTATTTAGCTAAGGATTAAGCATTGAAGATTTATATTACAAAGAGATTTGAGTATTAACTTTTTTTTTCTGTTTAGCTAAATCAACAAGTTTCAGAGTGGTGAGAGTGGGAACTTTGTGGGATCTGTTTATAAATTTTCACTTTCGAGAGATTAGAATATTTAAAAACATCTCATAAGTTTCTGACTATTATATTGTTATTTTTATATTAAAGAATACTTACACACATGCCCATCTTTTATTTTGTAAGTCTATTTCATTTATTTCGTATTTTAAAGTTTCTTACCAACAAAAACCCAACTTTTATTCACAAATCGAAATATGCTCAAGAAGCTCATGAAAGTCTCTAATTCTCAGTAGTTCAATCCTTGTGGAAACGATCTCGGTACTTTACCACTCTATTACTTGCAAACGATCATAGTGCCGACGTGTACTTGCACCGCTACTATGGAGATTTTGTGCTCACTGTGTGAACGCGAACGATCCTAAGCTACCAACTCTTTGGCGCCACTGTGGGGGATTGGCATGATTTTTGTTCTGAGATATTGACTTTCATTAGAGCCTTGGTCATTTGTTTCAATCGCATTTTTCGGTGAACTTTTACCTCTTGATCTTGAGTTAGAAAAAACCATTAAAAGATGTAGAAGAGGTAGAAATAATCAACAAAATCCCAATTTAAACCGTACCATGGTGGATAATCTACCTCCTCGAGAGGCTTCAATTAAAATTGCCGATTATAAAAGTAGAGGAATACGGGACTCTGCAACTCCCGATTTCGGTCAATTGGTTGCGGGAATAGGTAGGCCCGAAATGACAGCAACACCTTTTAAACTAAAACCGGTTATGTTTCAAATGATTTCTAGAATGGGTCACTTTGAGGGATTATTGTCGGAAGATCCGCACTTTCATTTAAAATCCTTTATAGACATGACATATGATTTTAAAATTCTCGGAGTCACACAAGAAACCTTACGCTTAACACTTTTCTTTTACACATTGAAGGATAGAGCTAGAGTGATAACTCTTATTTTTAAGAGTTATTTCCTATTTATTTCCTCCCTTTTTGCTATTATTAAATACCCAATTTTCTTGTTTTTATCCTTTTATTCCAATTTTTTTTAAAAAGATGATGAAACACAAAGGAAGAGGTATTATTCCAAAAACCTGTATTTTTCTGTTAGCACTGCCCACTGTGGCACCACTGTGGGATGTCTACCAACCTTGTTACAGCTTCTTGGGAAACGTGCAGCTTGAAGATTCATCCAGATATTTTCTCCAGTTGTTTATAAGTTGTCTTCCTTCTTCTATTTTATTTTTATTTGTATTTTTTAGACTTGTACTAATTACCCTTAAGGTAATGATTGGTTGTACTATCCTCCCTTCCCCTCCCCTATATAAAGAGGCCTTGGGGAGCCATTTTGAAGAGTGCCCAACATCATCTAAGACACAATACTCTCTAATGTGTCTCTCTTCTCTCTTTCTTTTATTTCTTTTTATTATTATGCTTTTTAATTAATGTCTTTAATTTATGTCTTTAAATTATGTCTTTAATTTATTTCTTTAATTTCTAGTATTTTATTTTCCTTGTACTTGTAATTTAGTTTTACATTAATGCAATTTATAGTTCAGTATTATTTTATGTCTTTAATTATTTTATTATGTCTAACTAAATTACTTGTATGGGTGTGGGTGTGAGTTTAACTTAGGATGTTTATATAATATTTGGGTGTTTTTATCTTTTATCACTTCATAACTTGGTCACTTAAGACGATACTTAAAATGCGGATAAGCTGATCACTTTGAAGTGTTAATATTAGATCTTAGACCCAGAGATGGGCGGATCCGAAATACGGCTTAAGTGATGCACAATGAACTCGARAGGGTCTTTGAATAATTACGTGGAGACGCGAATTTTGTATGCATCTAGCTAGGGGTTAAGCAATAGATATTTTATCACAAAGAGATTTGGGTAAAAATCGCATTCCTTTTACTTTTTAGCTAGATCGGCAAGTTTCGAAGTGGTAAACGTAAAAACCTTATGGAATTTTATGAGGTCCGGTTATAAAAGTTCACTTTCGAGAGATTGGAGCTTTTATAAACAACTCGTAAAAGTCTAACCATTTTATTGTTAATTTTATCTTAAGCAACACTTGCACTCATGCTCATCATTTAATATTAGAAGTTTATCTCGTTAATTAACTAGTCGGTCCTATTTCAGTCTTTTTATAAACAAAAATCCAACTTTATTTTATATCTCGAAACTCGTGCAAGAAGTTCATGAAAAATCTCTGAATCTCAGTAGTACCTTCTCTGTGGGAACGATCTCGGTACTTTGTACCACTTTATTACTTGCAAGCGATCATAGTGTCAGCATGCATTTGCACCGCCACTGTGAGGACATTTTGCCCACTAGGTGAACATGAAAGATAGAGCATGACTAAATTCTCAACCACCAAACTCGATCCTCACTTGGAATGATTTGGCGAAAAAATTTCTAAGAAATATTTTCCTCCGACAAAAAATGTAAAAATTGGAAATGAAATTATGACGTTTTGTCAAGAAGACGATGAAATTGGTATCAGATGCATTGGAGAGATTCAAAGACCTTCTGCAGAAATGTCCTCACCATGTAATCCCTCATTGTATTCAATTGGAAACATTTTATAATGGACTTCCCAGTGCCACTAAAATTATTCTTGATGCAACGGCCTCTGAGGCTTTCTGATAACTCTTATTTTTAAGAGTTATTTCTTATTTATTTATTTATTTTTGTTATTATTAAATACCCAATTTTCTTTCCCCCTTTTGTTTCAAAAAGTTTTAAAAAGATGATGAAACACAAAGGAATTAATTTTATTCCAAAAACCTGTATTTTCTGGCAGCATTGCCCACTGTGGCACCACTGTGGGAAGTCTACGAATTCTGTTTCTGCTTCTTGGTAAACATGCAACTTGAAGAATCATCTAGATATTTCCTCTGGCTGTTTATGAGTTGTTTTGATGTAACTATTTTATTTTATTTATTTTTATAACTTTGTACTATTACCCTAGGGGTAATCATTTTAGGTTGTCTTTTCTGCCTTTCTTCTCCCCTATAAAAGGAGGCCTTGGGAGCTCTTTTGAAGACACCATGCAAGACACAATATCCTCTAGTGTGTCTCATTTCTCTCTTATTCCTCTCTTTATTTTTAAGCTTTTAATTAATGTCTTTAATTTTTAGTTGTAATTTAGTATTTTATTTCCTTATACTTGTAATTTAGTTTTATATTAATGCAATTTATATTTCAGTATTATTTAATGTCTTATATTACTTTTATTATGTTTAGCTAAATTACTTGTATGAGTGTGAGTGTGAGTTTAACTTAGGATGTTTATATAATATTTGAGTGTTTTTATCTTTTACCATTTTGTAACTTGGTCACTTAAGATGGGACTTAAACTCGATGTGGATAAACCGATCACTTTGAAGTGTTAATATTAGATCTTAGACCCAGAGATGGGCGGATCTGAAATACGGCTTAAGTGATGCATAAAGAACTCGAGAGAGTCTTTGATAATTACGTGGATACGCGAATTTTGTATGCATTTAGCTAGGGATTAAGCGATGGGTATTCTTATCACAAAAAGATTTGGGTAAGAATCGTATTTCTTTTACTTTTTGGCTAGATCGGCAAGTCTCGAAGTGGTAAATGTAAAAACCTTATGGAATTTTATGAGGCCTGGTTGTAAAAGTTCACTTTCGAGAGATTGGAATTTTTATAAACAACTCATAAAAGTCTAACCATTTTATTGTTAATTTTATCTTAAGCAACACTTGCACCCATGCCCATTCTTTAATATAAAAAGTTTATTTCGTTGTTTCGCTAGTTCGGTCCTCTTGTCTTTTTATAAACAAAAATCCAACTTTTATTTACAACTCGAAACTCGTGCAAGAAGTTTATGAAAAGTCTCTGAATCTCAGTAGTCACTTCCCTGTGGAACGATCTCGGTACTTTTTACCACTTTATTACTTGTAAGCCATCATAGTGTTGACGTGCACTTGCACTGCTACTGTGGGGAGTTAATGCCCACTGGGTGAACACGAACGATCCTAGCCTGTCACTTTCACAGGTAAAACTTACAACAAAGGGTATAACATTTTGGAGAGAATTTCTAATAATAATATTGAATGGTCAAACCCTTGTGCTGTTGTTTATAAATCTGCTTCGGGAATTCATGAACTTGATGTCATCTCTTCTTTAAATGCTCAAATTGTAGCTTTAACTAATTTGGTTAGGAACAATTAAAACTTAAATGGGGAAAGGAATAAAGTTCAATCCATAATGTCCAATCCATTTATGACCTAATCTTGTGTCCTTTGTAGTGAGGGCCATTATTATGAATATCACCCTGGAAATCCCATCTCGGTAAATTATGTTGGGAGTCATGCTAGAAATAATCCATTTTCTCCCACATATAATCCAAAATTGGAGAAATCACCCCAATTTTTCATGGGCCAGAAATCCTGGACTTCAATCCCCCGGGGCAACCTAAGTTCAAAATCGACCACAAAATCCCCCGGGATATGGGCAAGGTGCTCCTCACAATTACCTAAATGGGCAAACCTCACAATCATATGTGCCTAGGAAAAATTCATTGGAAGGTAATGGCTCACTCAAATCATTATCCATAGGTTTTATAAACCAAACCAATGCAACATTAAAAAGTTTCGAAACCCAACTCGGCATATTTGCCGCTGATCTCAATGGTAGACCTTTAAGAACTTTGCCTAGTGACACAGAAATCCCTAAGGGTAAGGAGCATATCAAGGCCGTAACCATACTAAGTGAGGATAGTTCAAGCGTCAATAGTCATACAAATGAAGCCTCCGAAAAACCGACCCATCAAAACGAGTTTTCACATGCTTTTTTATATGTCAAAATTTCCAATTTTGAGTCCTCCCAATGGAGAAACTCAAAATTATTTTTTGTCCAGAAAACAGTCCCTACATCTACATCCAGCACTAGACAACTCTCAGCTCAAACTTTCCACAGTGGGAAGATTGTGCCCACTGTCCAGCAGAAAAAGTCTAACCAACCAGCTCTAGATTTGTAAAATTTACCTTTTCGAAAAAGAATGAAAACCAAAAATGTAGACGAGCAATTTAAGAAGTTTTTGGACATCTTTAAGCAACTCCACATTAACATACATTTGGTATAAGCTCTTGAGAAAATGCCAGACTACGTTAAATTTTTGAAAGACATTTTAAATGAACGAGAAGATTGAATGAATTTGAGATGGTTGTTTTGACCAAAGAATGTGATGCACTCCTTACTTGCAAAAGTCCAACCAAGCTAAAATACCCAAGAAGTTTTACCATCCCATGTTCTATAGGAGGAAAAGAAGTAGGTCATGATCTATGTGATTTGGGGGCGAGCATAAATCTTATGCGATTGTCAGTTTTTAACAGACTCGGAATAGAAGAAGTCCATCCAACTACCGTGACTTTAAAATTGGTAGATAGGTCCATTGTTTATCCCAAGGGTTGGGTTCAAATAATAGTAACCCAATATCTACGGTTTGAAAAATTTACAACTCGATTAGACATCGGGTTGCTTCAGGTTGAGTTATTTCTCGTTGGGTTAGGTTGGGTTGATCGGGTTGGTCGGATTTTTAGGCACCCCTAACTGTGACAATAGACTTTAGTTCTATTTTAATGAAAGTTACATTTCAATTTTATTTACAGCCTTATATTATGTTTCCTATGTCTATCATGAGTTAATTACTTATATGGGTGTGGTTGTGAGTTAACTTAGGATTTTTATGCAATAATTGAGTGTTTTTATTATTTAACACTTCGTGAACTTGGTCACTTAAATCGGGACTAGAACTCAACTCAGATAAGCCGATAACTTTGAAGTGTTAATATTATATCTTTGATCAAGTGATTAGCGGATTGGAAATACGGCTTAAGTGATACACAAAGAACTTGAGAGAGTCTTTGATAATTACGTAGGGATATGAATTTTGTACGTATTTAGCTAAGTATTAAGCATTGAAGATTTATATTACAAAGAGATTTGAGTATAAATTATATTTCTTTCTCTGTTTAGCTAAATCAACAAGTTTCAGAGAGGTGAGAGTGGGAACTTTGTGGGATCTGTTTATAAATTTTCACTTTTGAGGGATTGAAAATATTTATAAACATCTCATAAATTTATGACCATTATATTGTTGTTTTTATCTTAAGAAATATTTACACCCATGATCATCTTTTATTTTATAAGTCTATTTCGTTTATTTCGTATTTTAAAACTTTTTACCAACAAAAATCCAACTTTCATTCACAAATCAAAACATGCTCAAGAAGTTGATGAAAATCTCCGATTCTTAGTAGTCCAATCCCTGTGGAAACGATCTCGGTACTTTACCACTCTATTACTTGCAAACGATCATAGTGTCGATGTGCACTTGCACCGCCACTATGGGGAACATGAACTGTAACACCCCATTCCACATATTGCATGTAACACATACTTCATATATAAGAAATACATGTTTATACACCACATTGGTCCCTTAGTACGAGAATCTATCAGTACAAAATACATGGTCCAAAAATTCCAAATACAATTCTTGTACTAAACCAGATCATCTATCAAAACTATACATGTCATCAGAAAATCTTCTTGTAGATAATCATATAGGGAAATATTACATTTTTTCCTTCCCCTTACCGTCAGCACTTCCTACAATACATATTTAAAATCACAAAACGAGGGTTAGACCAAAAGGTCTAGTGAGTTACCCTATTTATGTTATTGCAGAGTGAAAATCACCAAAACTTTTAAGTAAAACAACTTTTCATATATACATCACAAATATATGAACAAGCAAGAACATAATATCGATACCTTTTATTTTTCAAGCCAATAATGTCTGCTTGTAAACAATACATCAAATTCCAACAGGTTATTACAACGTCACTTTTAAACCTTTCAAATCAAATCAGGCTTATTCAAAGTTTCAGGCCAAACCTGTTATATTGTCCTTAATAACATCCAGACTATGATTTCCAATAAGAATCCAGATCTTAAACCTTTAAATCACCAAGAAATAAAGATTCCAGATCACGATAATCGTAATGGATATAATAGTAAGAGTTATATTATGTTACACATACAAATGCCACCCTTATATCCAGATGTACATCTCTCCTTGATATGCCACTCTTATCCCATGATACACCTCTCCTTGATATGCCTCCCTTATCCCATGGTACACCTCTCCTTGATATGCCACCTTTATTTTGTCATCAAAATATTTCATAAAACAATTCCATATAGAATAGACCGTAGTCAATGAAATTATTATCAGTTCAAATTCATTTTGTCAAAATTCCCATTTATTGTTCCAAAAGAATCATATATTAACAAGTGAATACATAATCCAGTCAACCTTGTCCGGATAACAAATCTGGACAGGACTTTCACAAAACTTGTCCGATTAACACTTGGCTTAAATCGCAAGATCTTATCCGGATAACAAATCCGGACAACACTATAATCCGCTTAACACTTGAATAAATTCCAACTCTTTTGTCCGGATAACACATCATACCCTTTTTGTGTTCTCAATAGTTTCATTATGAAATCC